CCACAAAGTTCACGTCAAACAAAAGCATGTTTTAAAATCACAAAGAATAGCTTGTTTTCTGGGAGAAATAGATAGAACCTCATTGGCATATTTCATTGTTCAGTGACAGCATACAAAAAAGGTGATTTCTAAAATCATTTCTGGGCATAGTGTTGTTGTTGCTTTTAAGTGCCATTGAGTTGGTTCTGGCTCATAGTGATCCTTATAGGGTTTCTGAGGAGTGACTAGTGGGTTTGAACAACAGACCTTGTGGTTAGCAGTCTAGTGCTTATCTTACAGCGCAGCAGTGTTTACTATACAGTAAAACCCAGCAACTGTGTAGGGCTGAGACCTGCCAGAGATGGGAAACTCCAGTGTTTCCCACTAATAGCACGGTAGAAACGTGGGGGACGGTATCTCCCCTGTCAGAGGCAGACCACTTGCAGATGTGGTAGAGCAAGCCTATTCTGGCAAGTTGGGGCTCCCACACATGTCACTTCACTTGTAAGTCACATTGGACATCTCTTCGTCATGGCAACACATGCAGAGAAATGCAGCCTCTCAAGTAACTCTTAAAATGTCAGCAGCAGAGCTCTGTATGTGCTTTCAAGGTGATTATGTTTGATAGCACATGAAAGATCAGAGTTGTGGATGACTAATCATTTCCCATATTACTAGCTGCTTGGAAGTTTGGGCTCTAGAGTTAGAAGCTGCTGTCAGGCTCTGCTGCTTCTCCAGACTGACCTCGTTTTAGGTCACAAAGCAAGACTTGATAGATTTAAAAAGGTTGCAGTCATACAAAGTACTTTTTCTGACCACAATAGAATGAAACTAGAATTCAGTAACAGAAAAACAACAACAAAAAAACCTTTGTACAATATACTAGCATTGGAACACTATTAAACTACTGAAACAGTTTAAATACTATTAAACTACCAATGGGCCAAGGAAGAAATCAAAAGGGAAATGACAAAGTAAGTTCTTAGAATTAAATGAAAATGAAAGCACAGCTTACCAGAACATAAGGGATGCAGTGAAGGCTGATGGAAATTTGCAGCAATCAATGTCTACAAAAAAAGAAGAAAGATCTCAAATGAGCAGCCTACCTCAAAAACTCCAGAAGCTAAAAAGAAAAGTACAGACTTAGCCTAAATCTACCAGAAGAAAGGAAAAAACAAAGATCAGAATAGAACTAAATAAAACAAACAGAAAAGCAATAGAGATTCAAACCAGAAGTTGGTTCTTTAAAATAAATTAATAAAATGGACAGACCGTTAGCTAGACATAGAAAAACTGGGAAAGTACGTAAATAACCAACATAAAAAAAAATGTAAAAGGGGCATTACAGCAGATCTGATAGAAATAAAGAGAATTACGACAGAATATTATAAACAACCGTATGGCAACCAACGAGATGGTCTAGATGAAATGGACAAATCCTTAACAGCACACACCATACCCAACTGGACTCAAGAGGAAATAAGTCTCCACAAACCATAACGAGAGCTCAAATCAGTGACTAAGAATCTCCCACCAACAGCAGAAAGTTCCGGACCAAATGGCTTCCCTGGGGAATTTTACCACACGTAGAGCAGATGGACACCAGCACTGTGCACCTGTGCACACTTGTTGAGAGGACTCCCTAATTCAGTGTATTTCTCCACATCAACAAAACAGAGGAGAACCACCACGTGATCATCTCTGTGGATGCCAAAAAACGTTTGATAAAATCCAGTCCTCTTTCTGGATGGAAATCCTTAAGAAGATTAGAATAGAAGGAAAATACCTAAATGTGATTCAGGACACATGTGAAAAGACAACAGCCAACGTTAGACTCAATAGGAAATGATACAGCGCTTTCCCTTTGAGATCGGGAACAAGACAAGGGTGCTTGCTCTCACCACTTCTCCTCAGTACTGTCCTTGAAGTTGTAGCCAGAGCGGTAAAACAAGAAAAATAAGGAAAAGGTAACAATGTTGGAAAAGGAATAAAATTATCTCCATTCGTGAATGATGTTCTTAAGTGCCAGCAAGTCGGTTCTGACTCACAGCAGCCCTGTATAGGTTTCCAAGGAGCAGCTGGTGAGTTGAACCAACAACCTTGTACTTAGCAGTCCACTACTTATCCTGTAGCACCACATCAGCACTCCTATTCATGAATGACATGATCTTAAATACATAGAAAATCTCACAAACTTCAAAGTGAATTTCTAGAGTTATGAGGGGTTTGGCAAAATTGCAGGGTACAAGGTCTAAGTAGTGGGCTGGAGGGGCTGGCTGGGTGGGCTCATGCGTGCCTTCACACCACTAGAAAGTCTAGACAATCTTGTGGCACAGTGAGGGATGTGTTCGAGTTGAAATAGATGCTTAACAATAATAGAGGAGCATAGCAGAAGCATTCCAAGACATTTGTGAAGAGATTCATGTGCACCTTTATCACTCCATTGCAATTTTAAAATAGAGTTTCTTCTAGATCTTATTTACAGGCAGTTTTGTTTGTGTCTCTAAGTAGTTGTAATTGCAGTCTATGAAACGGGATGCATAAAGAGAGCAATGTTCGGAGCCTGCGTGACCTGAAAGGAGCTGGGGTCACAGTGGCAGCAGCAGTGGGTTCAGACACAGAGACTCTCCTGTTCTGTTGTTCAGAGGGTCGTTCTGAGTCGGAACTAACTCAGTGACAACAAACAACACTAATTGCAGTCTATACTCATGAATCCTTTTGTATTCTGTGTTTTCCCCCAGATCTTTGTAGTTCTTTCCCTATTACTGTGGGAGGATTTGTGTTTCAGAAAGCCATCCCTGGCCAGAGTACAAATATGGGTGTGATGGGAAGAGATTCACATGGTAGGGGTGGGGTTAAAGAGTCTGACATGCATTCTGGAGAGGCTTAGGGAGGGCTGCCCTGCAGAACCCAGGAATATTCGGCCCCTCAGCCAAACAGAAATGCCATCCGATTCCACATGGAATGTCTTCCTCTCCCACATTCCAAATCTCAGAAATCTAGCTCCACTTTGAAGTAGTCTGGGCCCAATACACAGAGCCCTTTAGCGCAGTGGGTTAACACTGGGCTGCTAGCCACAAGATTGGCTGCCCCTTGGGAGAAAGATGAGGCTTCCATAAACAGTCTTGGAAACCCTCCAGAGCGGTTCTACTCTGTCCTGTTGCTAAGTGCTGTTAAGCCAGGTCTGACTCATAGAGACCCTGTATAGGGTTCCCAAGGCTGTAAATCTGCCGGGGCAGAAAGCCCATCGACTGGTGGGCTTGAACCTCCAGCCTTGTAGTATGCAACCCAGTGCTTATTATACAGTGCCACCACACTCCCCCAACTCTTCTATAGTGCCTCTAATGAGCCAGAATCAACTTGCTATGGTTTGATTTGGGCCCAAAAGGCTTTGCTGAGATTGACCCAGTGCGGATTAATGCCAGCAGCATGCAAGAGCAGTTGTGTTTATCCTGCGCAGTGCCTGCTTCTTGGGAAGGCTGCCCCTGGGTCCTTGCCTTTGGTACCAGTTACCCTGGAAGCCAGGAGTGCAGGCATAGTGATGGAGGGTCTAAGAAACTGGCTTTTGAATAAAATAAGGCATATTTATTTTTCTAAGTGGCTACCTAAGATTACTTGCAGAATGATAATGAGGCTTCTTCATAAAGTCTCTGGAAAAATGGCATTAAAGGATCATGGAAAATTCCCACGGACTTTCTAAAGCTACCCCCCCAGTATTCCAGTGAGCATGATGCACTTCATAGGATAATTATGGGACAGTGAACCACAGGTCGGCTGTTCAAGCCCACCAGCTGCTCTACAAGAGAAAGATGAGACTTTCTGCTCCTATAACGATTTACAGCCTTGGGAACCCTGTACAGGTTGCTGTGAGTCAGAACTGACTCAACGTCACCTGCCACCACCAGCACCACACTAGGAAGATAACCTAGACTGTTCAGAGACAGGGGCTGCTGCCCCCAGCCAGTTGGCACTCGACTTCCTAACCTGAAAACCTTCAGAAGATTCCATGCTTGCATTGCAGCAAAACTGTTTTTCTGTGCTGGGGAAAAGTTCTATGGTACCTGACAGACTTGTTAATTGCTGTCAAGTCGGTTCTGACTCATAGTGACCCTGTATAGGGTTCCTGAAGAGTGGCTGGTGGGTTTGAACCGCCAACCTTGTGGTTAGCAGCAATTCAGTGCAGATCCTACAGCGCCACACTAGGTCTCTGGTACTATCAGCGGGACCATCACTGAATATAGTCAGGGAAATGGTGAAGTGGTTTACCATTGACTTAGATTTTAAGGTGACATGGGTCATGTCTTGAAGAGGCGAAGCAGGCGGCACTAGTTTTACTTTGAGTTAGCAGATGACTAGAATTTTAGTCAGACCATGTAGATAGTGGGAGGTCAGCGTGAGTGAGAGCTGGGGAGACCACTGATCGATGCTGCTTGTCTCTGACCCCCCTTTCCTCTCTACTCCCCTCATCCTCCTTCCACTTGGAGAGGGGATAACCTTTACTTTCAGTCTATAGATAACACTAGGCTAGATTTTAGACACTAGTTAGTCTTTAGACATGTTGTATTCATTTGAAATATTACTTCCTTTTTATTGATTTTTCAGAAGCCTTTATGAATTTTTCTGTAGTTTCTTTTTACAGAGGTGTCTCCTGGACATCCACCCCCTCACCCCACCCCCCATCGCCGAGCCCCAGGGCGCTTTACACAGTCTAAAGAGTTCAAGGAGCCAGTGTTACAGTGTCTGTTCCATGCGCCCAGGTCGTGAGAACAAGCGCGTGAAAGGGCCAAGAAAAGGCCTCGTTCCACGTGCAGTAAAACACAGCTGTATGGGGGCCCTTGTTAAGTCTTGATGTTTTGCTTTGCATATAAACAAGTAACATGTTTGGTGACTTCTTATATTTGTTATTTTTGAGTAAATAACTTTTTTTTAAGTGGGTTTATGTTATATTGGGCGTGTTGTCTATTTAAAAGAAACCACTACTCTCTGCTGACTGAAAACCCCCCACTGTTTTGTTTCCACAGAAACCTGCTAATATTTTAGTTATGGGTGAAGGTCCTGAGCGAGGAAGAGTAAAAATTGGTATGTTCTATCTTTGATAAGTCACAGCACAATCCTCTTCTAAAACTCTGGCGGGCAACTACCTCACTTGGAATTTTCTCTGTAAGCACATGCGTATAGCCATTCCTAAAGGGTGTGCATTAAAGGGGAAAATGTTTCACACTCTGTGAAGGAGACAGGGTGTTCTGATGATAAAACAAGCCATGCAAGTTTCTCAGAAATCTCTGCCTGCATTACACACAGCCTGTAGAGGTGATGGTGCCTGCCCATGTTCGAAGCCAGCCTCAGCTGTTGTCACCAGGGCGCACACCATGCTGGTGCTCCCACCATCCGTCTGTTCTGATTAGGAGTGAACGTGAGGGCAGGGTCATGGAGTCGCCTTCAATTCTAATGAGTCTGTTCTAGAAGCCTCTAGAAGAAAGCAAAACAAAAAAGTCAGGTAGTCTCTTCCTTGGCATGTTTTCAAATAGCTCTGTCTTCTTAGATTTCGAAGCAAAACTGTACCTTCTTCTAGTCCAATGGTCTTATCAGGATAGTGTGAGCTGTATTATCCTAACTTGTCCTTTTTTTCCCATTGTCCTTTCCAAGTTGTGTTTCTCACATACATCTAGTTTTTTTGTGGGTCAAAGAATTGTTTAAAGAAAATTGTCAGATTAATTTAAAGGCAGCAAGTTTGTGGGCGGCCATATATAATGAAGTTTAATTGTCATTTCTGATGGCGAGAGGGATTAGAATGAGAAATGTCTACTGATTTGTATGCTTCACCAGCCAAGAAAAACCTTAGGTGTCCTTAGCCCTCTTTCCCGGTCTTCCCTCATATATTCCCCAAATCCCATTTTCCATTTGGGGACTCTCGGAATATTCTCGTATGGTATGAACTCTGCAATGGTTTTAGTAACGGGAGCGAGCCACGCATATTGCGGCCCCCTCTGAAAGCCAGACCCTGTCAGTACTCCAGTACAGTTGGGTGGCATCACGGCCCAATGGCAGTTCAAAGAACGCAGAACAGAAAAGAGTAGTTAACAAACAAGTTATTTGCTGTAAGATTTAGGGGAAATTGACATATTCCGAAATCTAATTTGGAATTATACTCCTGTGGGAGTCCCATACTGATGGCAGGTTTGGGAGACACAGTGGTGTGACCACTCACAGAAAACAGGCTCTTTCAAGAAGAAATACTAGTGCTTCTCTAAACCAATTTTCAGTGTTGTGGTTTACGGTTTTAATTCTTCAGCAGATTTCTGTGTGTGTTTGTTTGCTTGTTTTCAAACCTTCGTAGTTCAGGAGATGAGACAACAAATGCCTGTTAGGGGAGAGCAGCTCCACTTACCAAGTGGTGGGTGATCTTGAAAGTTGTTAGGAGATGGTGTGAACAGTGATTGTCTACTCAGCATTCATGAGGCAGAAGCTCAGTGCAAGGACTCTGGACTGATGCTGTAAGGGACAATGAGTGAAAGACACGCTGTTGACCTTTAGGAAGGGGACAGCTTGGTAGGACAGCTCTGCCCACATAACTGTTTTGCATGTGAAATGATCCCAAATGTCAAGAAATGCTAGTGAAACTCAGCTCTAGCTCTGAGGTAGGGGTTTCCGACCTCTGTCAATCACTTCTAAGCAAATTTCCTTGTTTGAAAACGGGAGGTGATGCATTCAACACAGTCTTCAAAGTCCTCTCTAGCTTAAAAAAAATTCAATTTTCTCTAAAATTAAGTTTGGTAAAATTCACCCCAAATGAATGGGGAAAATCACGGTCTTAAAATATATCTGATCGTCTTCAGATCAGCTCCACTAAGCTCTTCAGGCCTGTGGATGCACAAAAACTAGAATGTCTTTCATATGACCAAGCCTGATTCTCAGTGCTTGTGACCAGTCCAGTGGGCACCATGCAGCTTCAGCATTCAGCACCCTGTCCACTGGGTGTTTGACAGATGGGAAAACTGCCCAGAGGAGGAGGGTCACACTTGGCCTCAGCAGAGTGTCTCCCTCTCCCACGTGAAGAGCTGGGACGTGGTCAATGGTTGGATAAGAACGAAGTCCTCAGACTGGCCTTGCACTTAACTTCTGAAACGAGTGAGACCTTGTGTGTTGTTGTTTTCACCCCCTAGGATTAAGCACATTCTTTGTATTTTATGAAATGAAATCTAAAATGAGACTAATTAGTGAACACTGTGGGGAAAAAACCCCAAAGCACCCACCTCCTTGACTTAACGGTCTTATCTTTTCTCTTACAGCTGACATGGGCTTTGCCCGATTATTTAATTCACCTTTGAAGCCTTTAGCAGATTTGGATCCAGTAGTTGTAACATTCTGGTACCGCGCCCCAGAACTCCTTCTTGGAGCGAGGCATTATACCAAAGCTATTGGTGAGTAGACCGAATGAAAACACTCTGGCTTTTCTACACAGTGGCCTTCTTGCTGTGAAAGATGCTCTTTGAAAACCAGCTCATACAGGCAGTGCCTTCATTAAAATGTCATAACGGGCCCCTCTCCACATGGAAAGATAGGTACAGAGTCTCTTTGTTTAGTAAATAAAATCATAGGATGCATATTTTCTCTTAAATAAGTTTTAAATTTAATTTTACTGGAAAGGAGATAACAATAGCATTTAAAAGCATTCAGCTTTAGACAAACGTTTTTTCATCAAAAGAAATACTAGCTTTGAAAGGCTCTCCTAAAGATAAGAGGTGAGGGGAGTGGGAGAGATGATGGGAAAAACTATTTAGGAGTTTGGAGACTTTGAATCCACTTTTCAGGTTTCCAGTGTTGAACATCTTATTCTGAGCAATGAGAGAGTAGTACTTTTATAACAGGGTACTTCACAAAGTTCATGGGAAGTTCATTAGCTTTCCACTCCACTTTCCACAAACTGTTGTATGTCTTCCCCACCAGCCTCTCAGTAGATCAGCTTTGTTGTTGTTGTTATTAGCGTCTGCCACATTTATATTCTGTTCGCTAGTCATAATTCCTAGTGTTGTTTATACATGATATATACACGTGGTAAGAATGGACAATGCGAAGCTCATGCAGCCTCTTCTTGACGCAATGTCTTTATTCTCCATCATCTTGCATTTCATTTCCCTGCATTCTGTCCGTTTTTCCCTGAGGTGTGTTTTCTTTCACTCTGCACCTTTATTACCAGTCTTGTGGTGCTGTGTTTTCAGCACTCGACTGCAAGGTTGGTGCTTTAAACTCACCAGCCACTCCTTGGGAACCCTGAATAGTGTCACTGTGAGTTGGAACCTCCTCTATCGCAGCTTATTCTTGGACTCCTGGTATAGCACTGTAGGATCAGCACTGGACTGTGAACTGCAGGGTGGCAGTTCAAACCCACCAGCTACTCCTTGAAAACCCCGTACAGTATTGCTATGAGTCGGAACTGACTTGATGGCACAAACAACCATAGCAGCCATGGCCTGTGCATTCTCTAGGATGGGATCAATCCGCTCTCCTCTCACTGGACAGTGCCATCTATGCGAGATCAGGCTCCAAGCTTACTGTGCCGTTTCATTCATTGTATCTTTGCTACCTGGAACCCATGATTCCCTCCCTTACTTTCCTAGAACATGTTCTTGAATAACTTCCTTTAGAAAGGGTATCTTATAGGTAAGCTTTCTAGTTTCCACCTTTCTGAAAATTGCTTTGATTTTCCTTAAAACAGTTTGACTAGGTTGAAAATTATAGATACAAAATAATTTTCCCTGAGAACTTCCAGGATATTCTTCTGTCTTCTAGAAGTCTCTTGCCAATCTTGTGTATGTGTGTGTGTGTATGAGAATTGAGAGAAGGTGGACAGAGCAGGTCCATTTTCCATTCAGCTGTCCATACGCGATTGTTTCATGTCATTGACTAAAGTCCCCACAGGGTAACATCACTCCCCCACTTCTCCCGGTGGTTCCTGTTTCCTCTCCTCCTGCCTTCCTGACCCTTCTGACCTCTGTCCTTGGGTCAGCACTGCCTTTCTGGTCTCCCGTTGTTGGTTATTGTAAGGAGTGCTTATCTCCCTGATGCCTTTGTTGCCCTTAGAGACCTGTCTGTGGTTGGGCTGAAAATTGATCCCGGAGGTGAGTTCACACCCAGACCTGCAGGGAGAGGAAGGATGATAGTTTCAGGGTTCTGCCTGTCGGATTCCCATCAGGAACCCTGGTCTTCTTTCTCTCACGCCAATCTTATTCTCTTTTGTTGGCAGCAGATTATGTATTGTTACTGCTTTTTTCTTTCTTAAACAAAATTTCTCATCCTTAAATTTGTAACACCTTATTCTTTTGTCTGCAAAGGAAATCTTTCCTGGCATCTGTCAGGCAGGGTGGCAGTGTCTCAGTCTCTGTGTTCTCTTACGTTCTCCATGTGTCAGCTTCTGCATTCCCTAAGTCGCACAGTGGGTTTAAAGGTTGGTGGTTCGAGCGCACCAGCCTCTCAGGGATTTACAGCCTCGGAAACCCCTCAGGTGCTGTCTTACTCTGTCTTCGAGGGTTGCCATGAGTCGGAATGGCTCCCTGTGTGTCCATGGTGGTTTGCTGTTTGCTTGTACATCTTACTCCATGCCTTCCATGTGAAAAGTGCCCTTTAACTGTGGTGGCGAGGCTCCTGCCAGGAGCCATTTGGGATCTTCATGTACGTAGACTGTGGGGTGTGGAGACTGCAGACCTGACTGACTTGCTGAGCACCCTGCTCCGCTCTGACTTCCACTTCTCTGAGGAGAGTCCCTTTGTGTAGTCCAAGCCTGAGACACCTGGCAGTCCTCAGGAAATAGTGACAGTGGGGAGGACGTCACCTGTTGAGAATACTGACCTATGGCTGCTGTTTCTCAGTACACAGCCTTCCCTGAGGTGTGCAGGGCACAGCACAAGGCACCTCAGCAGAGACCTTCTCAGACTGTCTGACCTGCTGGCCACCTTCCAGAAAGGCTTTTTAGATGTCACTGCCTCGCACAGGTCTCTTAGTGCAGGTACCACCTCTCCCCACACAGTCTGCAGCATCCCCCTGCCCTGCGGTGTCTTGTCTCCGTGGCCCTTGGCCCTGTCCCCTGTCCTGTGCCCCTGCCCCTCCGCAGTCACGCTGCCCTGGTGACTGCCGTCACTGCAACGTGGACTCGAGGAGGACGAGAGAGAGAGACTATGGCAGCCCCTTCCTCCATCAGCGTCCTTTCAGAACACCCCCGCCTGCCCAAGGTCACGATTCCGTTTGGTAGAGAAACACAGGTGGAGCAAACATTGGGTCGGGGCTGCTCTGTGCTGCCTCTGCCTTCTCTGTCATAGGAAAGGCCTTCAAAATTCAAAGGAAAAGTGACTTAAAAGAGAACGACACTGGGGGAAAAGTAAAATTGACTGAAGCCAGCCCTGTTTTAACAGCATACATCACGACCTAAAAGCATGTTTGAAGATCTCTTTTTGCAAATACATTCTGAATGCGTGAACTAATAAATCCATGCCTGGTTTTTGTTGTGTTTTTTTTCTCACGTAGGAACCGAATACTTTAAAACAGTTTTTCTTGTGGTAAGACGTATTAATAGACTACCCAGAGAAAAGTGATTACCTGGTTTTACTGTTGTCAGTACCATCGAGTCACTTCCAACTTACTGCAACCTTGGATAGGGTTTCCGAAGCTGTACATCTTTGCAGGACCAGAAAGCCTCATCTTTCTCTCACAGAGCAGCTAGTGGGCTCAAACTGCTGATTCAAAGCCCAGTGTTGAGCCTGCAGAGCCACGATACTCCCTCCTATTAACTGTGCACCTGACTAAACAGATGATTTATGTTGAGTAAGACATAGATTATCATAGAAGCTTACATCTCTGACTTTATGATCTTTTTTCTTTTTTTTTTATAAGAGGAGTGTATTTTAAGAAGTGTATCTTACTTGAGGTTTTCTAGGACCTTCTGCAGTTTCAAAACCCACTGCCACTGAGTCGATTCCCACTCGTAGCAACCCTATAGGACGAGGGAGTGCTGCCCGAGGGTTTCCGAGGCGATACGTGGTTGTGGGAGCAGACAGCGTCTTTGTTCTCCGGCGGAGTGTAGAGCATGTGGCCTCATGCAGCGTACCAGGGGCAGCTGTGGTAGCTCAGAGGCGAAATGTCAACCATGACATGGTGGCTCCAGAGACAGACAGGCACTGAGGAGGTGTGCTTAGCTTAACTGCAGGATGGGGCCAGCGTACACCTGACGCTGAGAAAGCCCACACAGGTGCAGGTGGAAGGGCGGCCACCCCAGCCTTCTGGTGTGAGACCACCTGTCTTCTCTCAGCTCAGTGGCCTCAAGATGTCAGAACACAGGGTAAGGTCCATCAAGTACTCTTTTGTCTAAGTGTAGTCTCTACAGATCCTACGTAAGCCATCTTAGTGTCCATTTAAAAAGTAGCAGTGAAGGAGGAAAGAGTGAAATTTGTACCTCAACTCCAGCCATCCACCACATCTGCCTCCTGATTCCTGAGCCTCACGGTTCCCTTGCGGGACACAACCAGTCCCCACACCACCCATGAGGCCGCTTCACTAACGGTTTCACCTCAGGGTTCACTGTGGGACACAGTTAGTCCCCACACCACCAGTGAGGCGGCTTCACTAACGCTTTCGCTTCCCTCTGACACTTGGCACTGAGTGTTAGGCGTGGGGTTGCTAACTGAAAGGTCGAACCCCCCAGCTGCTCCGTGGGAAAAAACGGGCTGTCTGCTCTCATAAGGATCACGGTACAGGGTCTTCACTGTGAGTTGGAATCAACTGAATAGCAGTGGGTTTGGGGTTCTGGTCTACTAGCTCAGGAGCCCTGCTGGTGCTGTGCGTTAGGCATTGGGCTGCTGACAGCAAGGTGGGCAATTTAAGCCCAGCAGCAGTTGGGGGAAGAGGCAGCCGTCTGCTCCGTGTCAGAAACGCTGAGGAGCACTCCTCGGTCCGGAAGGGCCTGGAAGGTCCCGGAAGGTCACTGTGATTTGGAGTTGACTGATGGCAGTGGGTTTTTTTCTGGCAGTTGAGGACTTCTGGGTGGTACAAGCTCCACTGTTAATCCAAAGGTTAGTGGTTCAAGTCCACCCACCAGCACCTCTGAAGAAAGTGTGGCCATCTGCTTCTCAAAGTCAGCCATTGAACCCTGCGGGGCAGAGCTCTGCCCACACAGCCATGGGGGCTCTGTCAGCTGCAGTCGATTGGAGGCATTTGGTTGTCTGTAGCAG